CCTTCTTCTGCCACCTTCTGGGATCATTTATATTACTTAATTTGCTCTGGCCATCTAAAAATCAGAATACATTACATAGAACAATATAAATCATTTAATTCAATCCTTTGCTCAGCACAGGAATTAAAATACTGTATGTATAACAGGTGGCCATTTAGAAATATTTAAAAGTATCCAGAGAGGAATCCACCATTTTCTTAACTATTATTTTATACACTTAATAGATTTTAAAGTCAAAAGATTCTTCCTAATATTCATCCTGAATCTTTAATTTCAACCCTTGCGTGTTCCTCAGTCATCAGAAAACATGTCTGATTCTTCATATGGCCCATACTTCTGGGCCGTTATCGTATTTCTTCTTTTCATTTGCCAGTTAAACATGCCCAGCTCCTTTTAACTGTGCCTTTTTGGGTCTGGTATTCAGGGCCCTTAAATTTATTCCAACAATTTATTCATTTTCCTTTTAAAATCTGGTGTCCAGAACTGGATACATTACTCCAAAAGTACAGTAGAACAATTATTTCCCATTATCTGGATGCAACAGGTAAAAACTGCTTTTTCAGTTGCATCATCACCATGACCCATGCTTGACAGTCAGCTCCTTCAACACTGAGGTGTTAATTTGAATGCCCTGGGATACAAATCAATTAAAGAAAGTGATATGGAGTTTCAGTGTATCTTTATTAGTAATGAATGAAGTTTGGGACTTTTCCCAATACATCCAAAAGAACCCATTCCCTTTTCTGAGAGTTGATAAATGCAAAAAAAGTATCAAACCATTCAGTTTTGTCCTTATTTCCAATTATATTTCCTCACTTTCCCTGTGCAGCAGATAAACAACTTCGCAATTTATTTAAAAAATAAACGGTCATGTCCCCTCCCTCTCCAAAATCTCCTTATGTTCCTCACTAACTTCACCCCATTCTGAGATTTACTCTTTTAACTTTATTCCTATAAGATTTAAACTATACTCGTTAATCCTTAATTTGCTTCTGGGTTCTTGTATATCGCATTTTGGTTTTTCAGTTTGTCACTGGACTTGCTATTCATCCATACAGTCCTCTTAAAGCAGTTCCTATTTTTATTTTTCCAAAGAAAAGGTACACAAGAAATGGGATTGACAGAGGGCAGACTTGAACCTGAGTCTCCCCACACTTATTTTGATGCTTTTATCTCTAAAACATACTCACAGCTAGTTACTTCTACAAATATTCCTAGTTGTCCCTTCTAGGTTTTTCTGACATTCTTTTGGCTCAGACACAAACTGCTTTCCCAGGTATATTAAACCAACAATATTGAAAGCCTTTCTTCTTCCTTTTTACCTTTGGAACTGTGGAAAGGGAATTTCATGAAGGCAGTAGTGTCACAAAAAACAGGAAAAGCCCAAGGGGAACATCAGGTCAGCCAGAAAACAAACTAACATAGGAAAAGGAATCAAATAAAAAGTATTAAAGAATCCCTATAGACAAAAGCCTAAGTAATTAAGAAAACTAGACAAATAGGAAAAGAAAACAAAAGATAATTTGGAAAACCCTTACAAACACAGGACATACCAAATAAGCAAAACAAACAGACAAGACACAAAATATAAATTACAAAAGGGACAGACAGGAGATTGCCACAGAACAAATATGAAAAACTATCTTAAAGCTAAAAGAGATCACAGAAAACCAATAATACAATCTGGCCATCCTGCAGAGTTTGCTCTCTGGCAGAAATAAAGACAAACTCAAACAGGATTTGAAACATTAGGCACAAATACAAACACTCACACAAAATCAACTTACAAAGGGAGAAAGGGGTATAAAAAAACAGGGACTTACCATAAGAAGCTAGCTAACCCAGGAATGCAGACTTCTCGCTGTTCTCCGCCTTCCTGAAAAATAAAAAGATCCAGCTTTCAAGCAGTTGTCCGTATCCTTGCGCCGAGGAACTCTCCCAGTGGGAAAATCGAATACTCGAAAGAAAGGCATTTTGACACGTTTCAACAATTGGCGACCACGAAGATTTCCCAGCCAATCCTGCCACCGGACCAGGCCCGTGGATCCAAACCCAGCTGGCATGGACCTTCTTTGTCCAGGGACAACATCCAGCCTGGAAGGTATAGGGTAGTAAAGGGAGTCCTTGGGCTTTTCTGGTCAACAGCTGCTTGAAAGCAGGTGAGTACCGCTTCAAATTTATTATCTTACTAGTGAGGGGAGTGGAAGTGTGAGTGGACCAGGTGTGTAATTGTGGGTTTTCTCTGTGGAAACAGCGGGACCTCACCTCCTCCGTGATTGCCAGCCGCACCCCAGCCAGCTGCTAGCTCAAACACGAGCGGTGACTGGCTGGATTTGGGAACGCAAGGGGTGATCACGGAGTGTGAGTCCTTCTGAAGGACATAAGAAAAACCAAGCAGGTTGCAAATGGAACTGGTGTTAGGAAATAAATAAAAAGCAGAGGAAAAATAGTCCCGGTGCATCCCACAAGCAAAGCCCTGTGCATTTAGAAGGGGCCCGTACTGGCTGCTGGCAAACAAAATTGGAAATAGTTCGTCTAAAAAAAGCAGAAAAGGTCCTTCCAGATCCCCACCTTTAAGGGAGATCTGAAAACTGATGGCTGAGTGTAGGGAGGGGCCTATACCGAAGCTGCTAGGGGGCAGACGGTCCCCCGAGATCCCCATTTTTTAGGGGGGGCTCTTAAAACTGACGGCTGAGTTTCCCTAAAAGAAAGGGGCCCGTACTCCATGTGTAGGGAAACCGGAGTCCTTTCCAGACCTTTTTTGTCTGAAAACTGACGGCTGTAGCCCGGCTAAACCAAAGTAATCCTCACATCAGGCAGGGAATATGGGAAGGTGTAGCTCTCCCAGCAGGAAAATCGAATCCTTGAAAGAAAGGCATTTTGACACCTTTCAACAGAACTGAAGCACAATGGAAAATTACTAGAAAAGTATTCTCATAATTAGCAGGCGTTTCTTAGCAAATATTATGGAAGTTGCTTAATACAATATTGTGTAAACCACAAAATTACTGAACCAAAGAACTAGACATGTTCCAGTAAACAAGGGTGGGTATGGAAAATAACGGAGGGTGTAAGATAAGTGTGTATATACTGAATTGTGTAAAATGACTAATTAGATTCACTTCTCCTTTCTATAGTACATAGGATATGGTATAGCTTGATAAGACAAACGCCCCGGGCTGGGCTGAGGCTGTGAGATGTATAAAAGTAACCCCTCAGGAAGAGCCGGGGGTTCAGAATTTGCCATGTTACCATGTTTCTCACATAATAAGGGTGGGCCTTTTTCTTTTTTTTTGAGCCCTGAAAAAACGGCTAGGCCGTCTTTTCGGGGGTCTTAATTCCCCCCTTTTCATCCTCATCTAGAGCGCCCTGTGGGCAGCCTCGCCAACAGCCACTCCTAACGGGTGATCATGGCAGAGTACAGAGAGCTTCCTACTCCCGCCAAATACCTTTGCTGCAGACCCAAGGCCTTTGGCACCTGCCGCTCTTGCTTTCCCTTCTGCCCATTCCGCTGCCACATTTGGAGTTGCCGCTTCCGTGTTTGGAGCTGCCGCCGCCATTTGGAGCTGTTGCCGCTGTTTGGAGTGCTGTTGGAGCTGCCGCCGCCGTTTGGAGTGCCGCCGCCACGTTTGGAGCTGCCGCCATGTTTGGAGTGGCGGCGGTGCTCCAAATGGCGGTGGTGCTCCAAATAGCGGCAGTGCTCCAAACATGGAAGCTCCAAACGTAGCGGCGGCACTCCAAACGCCGGCAGCAGCTCCAACAGCACTCCAAACGGTGGCGGCAGCTCCAAATGGCAGTGGCAGCTCCAACGGCACTCCAAACGGCAGTGGCAGCTCCAACGGCACTTCAAACGGCGGCGGCAGCCCCAAACAGCAGCGGCAGCTCTAACGGCACTCCAAATGGCAGCGGCAGCTCCAAACGGCGGCGGCAGCTCCAAACAGCGGCGGCAGCTCCAAACACGGAAGCGGCAGCTCCAAACGTGGTGGCGGAATGGGCAGAAGGGAAAGCAACAGCAGCAGGTGCCAAAGGTCTTGGGTCTGCAGCAAAAGTGTTTGGTGGGAGTAGGGAGCTCTCTGCACTTCGCCATGATCACCCGTTAGGAGCGGCTGGTGGCGAGGCTGCCCGCGGGGCGCTCCTAACGGCAAGTCCCTCCCACCCTTCCCCCCATTTTGCATGTTTTAAACTAGGCCTAAATTTGGGGGACGGGGCTTAATTTGATTTTATGCCTAGAAAACATGCTGGGTCTTCCTCGTGGTCTTGTGTCCTGATTTGGAAACAGGATCTGCTGCAACAGAATAAAATACCTTGTAAATAAAATCAGTGTCCCATCACTGAGCAATGGAATATTCAGAACATTCTCTTTCCTGTTCGTCCTTCTTAATAGGATTGACATCAGTTTATGTGAATAAACTATCAGAATTATCTTCATAATTCTGGAAGATGTAAAAAAAGTGGGGGGCATTGTGGTTTAAGCATAATCTGGTTCAGAATATGGCAAATCAGTTGTCATTATATTATGCTGAATGCAATTATTTTGATTAGGTAAGACTTTATATTTGTTGGTATTTAACGTGAATTGTGTTAAACCAGTTACAATACATTGCACTGTATTGCAATACAGTACGTTAACAGAATAACAGAGCTGGAAAGGGAGCTGTCTTCTAATCTAGTAAAACGCGACTTGTTCAAAATCGAAGTCGATTGACACCAAGAGGAAAAGTTATGTGAAAAAACCGTTTCATGGTTTTTATGTAACGGTTTTGCCCGTGCGTTGTGTTTTCACAAGCCTTCCTTTCAAACTCGGTAAAGGTGATCTAAACACAAAACAAAAAACCCGCACACAAAAACCGACGCTTTCGGCTCTCCAATGAAAGCGACGGAGATTCCACAAGGTCTGTACGGGACGATAAAGTTTTGCCTGCCTAGAAAGGATATCAGTTTTTTTTAAAAAAAAACCGGAAGTAATTATTTCCCCCCCCCTGACATCTAACTTTCTATTTCCCTTTTTTGGGGGGGGGGGAGGAATGGAGTACAGAGGTTCTCGCGAGAGTTGCTTCGTTTATGTAGAAGGGTTTGGCGTAAGCGGTGCTTGTCAGAGAAGGGCAAGTTAAGATCGAGAAAGCAAGAGTACGACCGGTTAGTTTGCAGGTTGGGAGGGAACGCGCGATTGGAGAAGGGAGGGGAGATTGGGAGAGGGGATCGTGCCTGACTGGCCTCTGACTGGCGTCCCCGCGACAGTTCACCTGCCACGTGTGACTGGGGGTGGCTGGTAGCCCTTCCCTTCGCCAGCCCAAGGTAGCGTCGGAGTTGAACCCAGAATTGTGCTCAGGAGGACGTAGGGAGGATGGGTGTACCAAGAGTGTCTCTGGGGGAGGATCATTTTTATGCCTTATAGCAATATCCCTCATGGCCATGTTAAGATACTGGACTTCAACTCCCAGAATTCCTCAGCGCAGCATGCTAGCTGAGGATTTCTAGGAGTTGAAGTCCGCCCATCTTAAAATGGCCATGTTAAGAAGTACTGCTTTATACAGTAGTTCAAAAATTCAAACTTCCCATCTGTTTTCTTTTCCCAAAATATGAGATATGAGCCTAGAAATAGGTAAGAACTGTTTGGCTGCCTAGAGCAAAGAAAAGTCCCTAATTAATAACAATCCAAAATGGCACTTAGGTTGACTTTGCTTATCAGAAGGTTGCAAAAGGGGATCACATCACCCAGGGGCCATACCACACCACTCTAAATATGAATCAGTTAACAAGCATTGAATTTGAATTTTGATCACATGACCATGGGGAAGCTGCAACAGCTGCATGTGTGAAAAATAGTCTTAACTCTTTTTTTCCAGTGCTGTTGTAATTTTGAATGGTCACTAAACTGTTGTAAGTCAAGGACTATCTGTATTGCTTCTTTCTTGTTAATATTTTGCAATGGAATACTTATTTGAAATTTTATGGATAAATTTATGGTTCTGAAAAAAATGCTGCTATTCACATAATGACTGTTGTGGAGTATGAAAAATTTCAAAAAATACTGATTTACCAGAATGCTAAGTTGCCATTTTAAAAAAGCAAAAATAAAAATGGGGCATTTCTGTAAGCACACTAGTGTCCAACATCTCTTCCCCAGCAGCGATATCTGCTTCTGAATCGTGGTAGTTTGATTCTATAACTCAGTTCCTTCCTTTAGTTTATAATAGTGTGGCTAAAACCAGTCCTGTAATGATTGATTTTAGATTTTTCTTTTGACACTTGGTATTTTACAGAATTACTGAATTTCCATCTCTTGGTTGAAATTTCTTCCCACCTTAAGAATTTTAGAATGTAACAGATTTAGCCTTCATTCTCCATTTACCAAAGTCTGAATTTCTTACAATAGGGGTCAGTGTTTGTATCTTTTGAGAATCACATGTGGAAGAAGAAATGGAATATATGAAAGAGTATACTCCCCTTCACCAGGGGAACATGTGAGTAACATGATTTTAAAAGTCAAACTAACCTGCAGAAAATATGAAATCCTAGGATTAAATGTATGCAGGGGATTGCCTATCTGAAAACACTATAATCAGACTACCATTGCATATTGATGCATAAATTGTTAGGTGACAAACTTGCTTATATGACAATATTAAATCAGGGTGTTATAATGATTTTTTAGCAGTGCAATGTCTGGATAGTATTGAGTAGTAGACAATGGCAATCACAGAATCCTAGATTGGAAAATTGAAGGAAAAAACAAAGTGACAAGTTATCTCTGTATTGGTGCCAAGAACATGGACATATCAACAAAGTAACAAGGTGTCAATGTTGACTTGAAGTCCTTAATTTTATTCTTTGATTTGGGGAGGACGTACAGTCCCGTGACATCTATCAAATATGCATAAATGGTTTGGTTTTACATGCTAAATATCTTCTCTTACTTTCTTGAATTGGGATCATATTATCAAATGATCCTGAATATAAGCCACTTGGAAATTAATACCAAAAGAAACTAATTCTGTGGCATAAGCATTTGTGGAACAAAATATTCTGGAAATGAGATTTATACTACAACAGATTCAATCCTTGGAATAACATTATTTATACATAGATTTTTATGATACCTACTCAGATCTATTATCAATGTAAAATGCATCAGTATTCCATCAGTATTATATTTGTACTAAAAATCGTAACAAAATGATAAAATTGCTTTTTCCAATAAGAGTGTACTGATTGCTTTCGATTCAAATTTGATTCACTGATTCAGTTGAGACTTTCTATCTTGATTCAGAAATATGATTTTATGTGGGACTTCAGTCAAACCATCCTGGTATTTAAATCTCTGAATCAAAATTACATAGTACTGATAGTAATGTAGCGCTCTTGGCACTATGTAGAAAGCAAAGTTATGTATTTTTTATTATTTTTTTAATAAAGAAATGATGTGTTTTATTTTAATGATAATTTTATGTGTTGTAGCTTATGTTGCCAGTGTGGCATTGCAATCCCACCAAACCCAGCCAACATGTGTGTAGACTGTTTAAGAACTCAAGTGGATATCACTGAGGGGATTCCTAAGCAAGTCACTGTTCATTTCTGCAAACAGTGTGAAAGGTACCATCTACTAGCTTTTAAATTAACGGCTATGTTTGGACGTTATGATAGGCCAGTTTTGTAAATAATTTAAATTAGAATTGTAAATCTATTATATGCTACTCAAGCACTCCCACTTAATTCCACTTGCCAGCAAGTATATGTAACAGATCTGGAAAACCATAGGGTCTGTTTAATGTTGTGTGCAAATAAATAATTATAGCTTATTTTCCTTTGCTTCTGATTAAATGTAGATTTCAAATGTACTGAATTATTAAATATCTTATATCAAGAAATGAAATGGCAGTATTTTTTTATTGAAATTCTTATGGTTAGCTCAAATTCTAAAACATTTCTGATAAGGATGGTGCTATATAAATCAGTTAAGTTACAAGCTGTATTGTGTACAAACTACTATGCATGGAACAGCTAGGTTCATCAGGAGGTCTGAGTCCCAGTTGAAAATTTAGATTTTTTTTTAGTTTATCTTTATTAGGGTAAAACATATTTGATTGGATTAAGAGACTAAAATTCATTCTGGCAGAAATCTTTTTCAGATATAGAAAAAAACCAGGGATAGCAACAATTATGTGTGTTGCTAAGGGATTGTTAGGAAAGGAAGATATTGGAAATATTGAAAAGGGAGCAAAAAGAAGTTGAGATTTCCAATGCAGCATAGCAGGCCTTTCTGGCTATTTTTTCTGGCTACCTTTTGCAAGGGGTGGTGTGAGTTTGAGGGCACTGAGAGCAAATGCTATAGTGCCTGTAAGGCTCACCTTGCCCCCAACAGTCTATCAGTGGGAGTAGGGGTCCCCCCCCCTTTTTTTAAAGAAGAGTGTTGGGAATGGGGAAAGGAATGTTCTCAAGGAAGGCAGCGCAGGGCGTCCTATTTCAGTGGTGTCAGGTTACAGGGGATATGGGAGATGAGAGGGCAGGCACGGGGAACGCGACCTCGGTGTTTAGTACTGATCTCGTGTTCTGCCACACTGTACTCACTTCATTTTCCTGATCAGCAGTTCTGTGGTAGCTCTGGTCTTAGACTACTGCTTTTAAATGTGAAATCAGCCTGCAATAAGGCTAGCCTTATTGCTGATTTGATCCTCGAAGAGAAGGCTGATCTGGCTTGTATGACTGAGACCTAGCTGGGCCCAGAGGGAGACCAGGTTTTCTGGAAGACAAAATCACTCAATTTTGTTTCCAGTTAGATGCCGGCATGGTTGCTGGTCTGGAAGCCGAAAGCTCCTGAGGCAGGTTCTTTCCCTGTTATCTGGGAATGGTTTGACCCTGTTGCTCTTGAGGAAGTGAACAGGATCCTAGGAAGTATGCGCGCAAGCACCTTTGTTTTAGACCCATGTCCCTCCTGGCTTGTGAAAGCTTCCCAGGAGGTGACAGGCGGGTGGACTCTGGTGGTGATTAATGCTTCTCTACAGGAGGGGATGGTGCCCAGCACTTTAAAGAGGTTGTGGTCCACCCTCTTTTTAAGAAGCCATTGCTGGACTCCACCCGGTTGGATAATTTCCAACCTGTCTCCAATCTTCCCTTTTGGGGGAAGGTTGTTGAAAAGGTGCTCGTGCAGCAGCTCCAGAGGTTTTTTGGATGAAACAGATTATCTTGACCCCTACCAGGATTCAGGCCTGGATTTGGGACAGAAACGGCATTGGTCGCACTTTTGGATGATCTCTGGTGGGAGGGGGAGGGGGATAGTGCATCCATCCTTGCTCTACTTGACCTCTCGGTGGCTTTTGATACCATTGACCATGGGATCCTCCTGGGGCGGATTCGGGGATGAGAGTGGGAGGCCTTGTGCTATCTTGGTTCACTTCCTCTGTGGCTGCTCTAAGTCAGTGTTGATAGGAGGGGAGAGATCTAGCCCTCGCCCACTGCTTTATGGGGTTCCACAGGGCTCGATACTCTCTCCGCTCCTGTTCAACATTTATATGAAGCCGCTGGGTGAGATCATCCGTCACCATGGACTGATCACTAATCAGTCCACTAATCAGTATCCATCAGTATCACTAATACGCTGGTGATAGTTAGCTGTATGTCTAGGCTCGTGGTGAGTTAAGTGTTGCTGGGTCCTCCCTTTTGCAGTGCGTGGAGGCTGTTAGGGGCTGTATGGGGAGCAACGGATTGAAACTAAACCCTTGCAAGACCGAGTGGCTCTGGGTCTGGAATTTGTTGGTTCAGGGAGAATTACCACCTTTAGTCTTAGATGGGGTGTGGCACTACCCCAAACAGACCCTGTGTGTAATCTAGGGGTTTTCCTGGAATCCTGACTCCTGCTCAAAGAGCACGTGGCTGTCATGGCCAGGAGGGCCTTTGCTCAACTGCAGGTTGTGCACCAGTTTCACCCTTTCCTGGACCAACGGTCCCTACTCACAGTCACTCATGCCCTGGTCACTTCCCATCTTGATTATTGCAACGTGCTCTACATGGGGCTGCCCTTGAAGAGCATCCAGAAGCTCCAGTTGATGCAAAATGCAGCGGCCCACATGATTTTGTGCAGACCTCAGTATGCACATGTGTCACTTCTCTTGCAGGAACTGCATTGGTTGCCATTTTGCTTCCAGGTGCAATTCAAGGTGCTGGTTGTCACCTTTAAAGCCCTTCATGGTTTGTGTCTAGGTTATCGAGGGAATGTCTCTTGCCAGTCACATCTACCCAACCCATTAGAGCGGGGAGGCAGGGAATGTTGCGGGTCCCATCCCTGAGGTAGATATACCTGGTGGTGGCTCCCTGTCTCTGGAATATCATTCCCCCAGAGAATAGAATGGCCCCCAATCTAGCATTCTTTCGAAAGGCACCGAAGACCTGGTTTTGCCAATGGGCCTGGAAAACCCAGAGTGGGATCAAGCCCATCAAATGGCTAGTGTGATCTGCTGTCATCGGGATGGGAGGGTGGGAATTGGGGGGATTTTTTTATTTTATTTTATTTTTTTCCAGATTTTGTTCTATTGTACTTTATTAATTTATTTGATTCTTTTTGTTAGTTTTTGTTGTTTTTTGTTTTTATTTTTTGTTTTAAATATGGTTTTACATTGTGTAAGCCGCCTTGAGTCGCCATGGGCAAATAGGCGGCAATATAAAATAAATAGATAGATAGATAGATAGATAGATAGATAGATAGATAGATAGATAGATAGATAGATAGA